TAAGTGCTGAACCAGTAAGAGGTCTGAACCATTAAGAGCTAGTATATTGCTTAACTATTCAGAGGCAAATGTCTGATCAATTCAGATAAAAGGTCTTAACCATTCAGACTCTGTATAATACTTAACCATTCAGAGGCAAATCTCTTAACCATTCAGACATCTGAACGATTAAGAGGCTGAAACAAACAGTCTGAACCATTAAGTGCTGAACTATTCAGACATCTGAACCATTAAGAGGCTGAAACAAACATCCTCTTCTTAATATAGAGAATTTTCAGCGTTTTCAAACCCTCCTTTTCTTTTCCCATTTTCTTCCTCGGCCAAACAAAGAAGAATGTAACCTTGTGTTTATAAATTATTTTTGAATAAATTCCCAAAATAGTCCTTTTTAATAAAGTGTTTTCCCAAATCAGTTCTCAATAAGTTTTAATTACCTACGTGGTCCTCTATAATTGAGATTTATTTCTAAGATAGTCCTTTGTAAATAATGTTACTCAAATTAGGATTAATTGAGGGTATTTTGGTATTTTTTATCCGCTAAATTTAGAATTAATTCTTAAAATGATCATTTATAATGAAGTGCTTTCCCAGAATGATTTTTTATAATTAAAGATGTGTATTTCATTTGAAATTTAAAAGATTTTTTTATAATTTTTAAATATATCATGAATTATTTATAGTCAATGTATTTTTCAATTTTTCATTTAGTTGTACAGAAATAACTGTTTCGAGAAAATACTTAAAATTTGAATGATCAAAAATACCAAAATATCCACGAATTAATCATCATTTGAGTAACATTATTTACGAATGACTATCTTGAAAATAAATCTCAATTATAAAGGAACATGTATGTAATTAAAATTTAATGTGGACTAAATTGGGAAAACACCTTATTACAAAGAACCATTTTGAGAATTTACTCATTATTTTTCTTTCTTTGCAATTTCTCTCTATCAAAAGTAGCTTGTTTTTTGTTCCGAGTGGAATTCTTTTGCCCGGGAACAATAATATTCAATTGGTGAATATTTATGCTCTGCATGAACATCGTGTGCGAGAACTAGAAACAGATTTAAATCCTTATTGCGTATTTGAAATATTACCTCCTCCTCTTAGCTATATTGTCTCGGCCAAGTCTTAAGGGCGCACTCGAGTCATTCTTTTTTTAGTAATCCAAGTAGCTTGTTAATAGTGGCTTAACATATACTCCCTCCGTCCCAAAAAGATCGTTACGTTTCATTTTTTGCGCATCCCTTAAAATACTTTTATATCGTCTCAAATGCCAAAAAAAACTTTCAAAACAATTTCATCTTATAATAAAGAGTAAATATGGTAAATTTTAGAATTTTTAAATGTGAGTAGCATTGCTTTTTGTGATGCGCAAAGAAATGAAATGTAACGATCTTTTTGGGACGGAGGGAGTATATGTTCTTTAGGACTGAAAAAAAACTTGATGTTGGAAAAAACTAGAAAAAATTAGAAAAAACTAGAAAAATTAGAGAGAACGGGAAGAAACTGAAAAAAAACTAGAAAAAACATGAAGAAATTATTAAAAGCTAGAAAAACTATTTTATACCACGAGACTCTATTTTATAGAGTCGAAAATTCATGATCGGACATGAACGTTCGCGTAGACGCGTACGTTCGCGCGGAGAGGAAGAAACATTCACACGGATAAGGAAAAAGGGTTTTGAACGAAAAGCCTCCTGCGGTTTTGGAGTCTATTTCAACGTTTATCAACTCGTTCGAGTCCTTTAGTGTTTTGGACTCCAATCACGGAAATCTTAAGGATTTTCATAAAGAAACAACATCCGAAATAAAATGAGCGCACACTTGGACAGGGGCTATGCCCCTTGGACCCCGCTACCCAGGGCTGCCGCCCCCGGACCCCCGCTGTGAATTTGTAAGTAAATCAACCACACAAAATAACCCGATGACACTAAAATCACCAACATGTTATGGACACACTCGATCGCATAGATGTATTGGCTTTGTATACCGGTAGTATGTTATCACAATTCACAAGATTTTTAGTGACTAGTAATTCAGGCAAGACAATCTAGGTTAGACTACAATATTACCCAACACTTATGATAATTTTAAATTTGTCACCATATACGATAATGGTGTTTAATCTTTTTTTCACATAAAGTGTAGTACAATGCTTAGTGATCACTTGTATCGTCTATATAGCGAAACAAATTCACAAATAATATAATTGTCATTTAAGATGTCAATTTTGGTGTTAGTATAACACCCTCCTTACCAAAGATGATAAAAGAATTGGACATTGGGACCATATCAATCTACTCGTACTTATGCGGTTCGTGTATTTGTACAATTGTAATTTGTACATATAAAAATACAATGCATCTCTTGATCCATCCAGCTTATCAAATCCCCGAGTAGTACATATACGGAGTATACATTCTTCAAAAAAAACCTTTGGCGCTAAAACGGTGAAAATGTCTACGGCCCCGTTTGGCATCAGCGTCACAGATTAGTGTTAGCGATTTGAAAAGACAATCCGATAGTAGGTTTTAGCGTTTTCAGAATTAATTTACACTATTAAATTTTTATCCAAAACGCTAACGCTAATCGAAAACGTTGTTCTCAAACAAGGCAGCATTTCTTTTTCTCTCCTTTGTTCTCTCATCGATAACGTTATCTCGACAATTGCTCCGTATTAAACTCGTGACGTCCCATCGTGAAATTCGTATTTTACTTCTTGTGCCAGGCATTTATAAATTTTAACTACAATTTGGTAGAAAAAAATACTCTTCCCGACCTAAAAAAATTTTTCTTCCATTTTAAAATGATTTTATTTATAAATTGGCATCGAAATAAAAAGTACTCCGGGTATAACTTACATATTTAGAAACTATATAAAAGAGTCTACAAAACAAGTGGTAATAAAAATATTTTATTTTATCAAATAACTAATAAAAAAGCCGACGTAAACAACAAATTTTGAATGTTTAAAATAGTAAACAAGAAATGTTTTTTGAGAGGGAGTTCATTGAACTATAAGAAAAAATATTTTATTGAATTATGATAGTATCACTTAATTAACATTACACCGCATTAAATTTGTTCCCTCCGTCCGAGTTTCTATATGGTCGGCACGGTAGAAAGTACATTCTTCAAGAAAAATGGAGAAACTCTTTCAGGTTTGATTTCCAGCATAGACCCATGTATGGATTCACTGTGCGTTTTTAGATTGAGTATTTCATTGTCATCTGCTTGAGACTTTGGATAACTTTTGTTTGGATATGCATTTTCATTTATCATCTCATAAAATAAAATAATCATATAGTTTTAAGTAAGATAAAGCTAGGATAACCTCACATGGGTGATTCCATATTTTGCACAGATACGCACTAACTATAGCCGTCTATGCGATAAATATGATTATCGTGTGTTCGGTCTATACAAAGCATGCATATACCCTACCACGGTCAACACATGATTATGTTGTACTCCGTAATATTAATCTCTATATCAATTTATTTGGAAAAATTAACACTAATACTTTCATGAATACGACTTTTACGAAAATATTCCTAGATTTGATCATTAACGCCTTTGCTCGGGCTCCAACTATCTTATATTTTTACGTCATTGCTCCCCCACTTACCCGGTCAGCTCCTACGTGAAAAAAAGAATTTGTGTTTTTAGTACTCTTTTTTATTGTAAATTATTAAAAATGGGAGTCCTAGATCATATAATTATTTTTAAAAATAATTTTATTTAACTATATTTGTTGGAAAAGGTAATAACTCAATTTACTTCATTTTCAACTATATAATTTTATTTTATTAAACTCCAAGAAGAATCAAACACAAATCATTAATTTATAATAGATGGAGCATTAATAAAGATTTTAAATTTAGGGAAATCAAATGAAAAAATAGATTATGAAGGGATAAATAATACAATAAGAGGGGAATATAAGTACGAGCACGGTGCGTATGAAGAAGACTTAGGGTTCTTGTTTGTAATAAAATTAAAATGGAAAAAGAGTATTTAAAACATAAGTCATCCTTCTTTTCTATGTAGGAGATGACTGGAAAGTAGGAGTAATGTGGTGAAAATATGAAACAGTTGGGAGCAATGGTGTTAATGATCAAATCTGGGATTTTTTTAAATAAAAAGTCGTAGTACAAACTTTTCCATAAAATTAATATAAAAGAATTTAGATTTTGTACTTTGATCGAAAATAATACTCTAAATAAATTTGGGAGGGAGTGAGTAACTAGAACATGCATTGTTCAGTGCCGGTCCAATGTTTCAGAGGCGGCCACGTACATCTTAGAGCATGCTTTCGTTGTATCTAATTAGATCTAATCTGATTTTATTAATTAAACTCTTGTCTAGTCCGATTTTAATTCTTTTGAATCCTCTTTCCTTAATTATATTTTAAAACTTTATGCTAAAATTTAAATAAATTAAATTAAAAATAATTTTGGTAAAAAATTATTAGTAATAATTTAAGAAGGATGGAGTATATAATAACTAAACAATTGGTAAAATAGGTGGACAATATACAGTTGGCAAAGACAAAAAATGTTAGGAGAGACTCACCCTTTTTTTTTTTTCAAAAATGCTCTAGAAATTACTCCGTACTAAAGAATTGCATTGTCGGGTCTCTGCCGGGTGGAAATCGTCTAAACGCGTATATAATGGATCTCTATTTACAACTACCAGTAAAAACTGTCGCTTTTCATACTCTTCTCTCTGTATTTAGATTAGATTTCTTCAAAGTAAGTGGCTAATAACCCCTTTTGGAAGAATTCTCTCTCGATGTATTTCTGTGCCTAGCCACCGAATTCAATCTCAGGAACGAAGAAGAAAGGGATATTCAATTCCACATGGATCCGTCATTTTGACGACACTTCCACAGTTTCATACTCCGGTTTCTGTATCCCATCAAAGAATCGCGGTGCGAGTCCTGCCTGAGATCTGGGGCGGGATTCGGATTCTTATTAGGTCATCCCTTCCGCGAGATTTTGTGTTGGGTGTCACCCGAGGGACCTGATCTGTGGATCTTTCGTTTGTTTCGCTGCCTAGGGTTCTAATTCGGCGCTGGATCTGTCTGTTTTCTTGATTTCGGAAGGGGGGCAGAGAGAAATCAAGATCCTGGCTTGTTTCGGATTGGGTTCTGTGGTCGTATTATGAGATTCTGAGGAGGTTGGTCTTAATGGAGGCAGAAGGAGCACCAGTTGATAACAAAACAGACAAAGTTGATATTAAGTTCAGACTTGTTGATGGCAGTGATCTTGGACCGCACCAGTATGATTCCACTAGCACTGTGGAAACCCTAAAAAACAAGATACTTGAATCATGGCCCAAAGGTTTAACTCCTCTTCTTGCTGTAATTTTTCCCATGATGATTCAGTTTTATTTGCTGTTTTTTCCCCTGATGGTTAAGATTCACTTTTTTTCAATTGTTTACTATGTGTGTGGTTTGGGGAAAGAACATTTCCTGATGAGTAACCACATTCAGGTTTGATCTTCAACTACAAGAACTAGGCATAACTGGAAAACAGAACAAACCTTTTTCACAATGGAATGCATCATAAATAAAAATTAAAAAAATATTCACTCCACATTGATTGTAAAATAACATCAGATATATGAATGAGTTGTTTGTATTGCTTTAGCCCTTAGGTGTAAAATTATTACTTTGATTATATTGTTCGTTTTGTTGCTCTTTGGAAGGTGTTGCCTTTCTGTCTTTGTTGAGAAGTGTCTTACCTCGTGATCTTTGTTACTATAGTTTTTGTTGAAGGGCGATGATTGTTAGGGAGAATATGTTATGCTCACTTTACTAGTTTCAATTCAGCAGATAAAGAAAATGGGCCAAAGGACATCAAGGGTTTGAAGCTCATTATCAATGGGAAGATACTTGAAAACAACAAAAAGGTTTCCGAGTTTTTAATTATGCCCCCCGGGGTTGCAGAAAAAGGTGTCATCACTATGCATGCTGTTGTGCAAAATCCTGTGGTGGACAAAAGCAAAGGTAATTCAAAAAAATGGAGCAACACATAAATTTCTAACGTCTTTTCCCACTAGTATGAAGTAATCAATACCATGCATCATTTCTTCTCAATTTTTATTCGTGATACTTCTCTTGATACATTCTAGCACTGATGATTTGGTTGTTTGTCACACAGATAGAAAGAAAGATGGCAACACCCCCATAAAGAGCAGCTGTTCATGCTCGATCATGTAACTCATCTGACAAACAATCCTAATTTGGCTCAGTATCTTCAACCTGTTAAAGAATTGGCCTTCTAGTCTGGTATGGTTAAAGGTGGTTCTTTGTAAATTGTAATTCCTTGAGTAGAAGATAGCAGAAGTCAAGGAAAGTGGTGAGGACATGGCTGATTTTGCCCCAGAAGTTTGAAACCCAACCTTTTTTTCATTATTAATTGTCTGTTGGCATCCATTATGTGGGAAGGGAGACAAAATGTTGTTGAGAAGAGCTCATAGGTTGGCTTTGTTTCTTTTTTTTCTTTCCTGTTTTGTTCCAAATTCATTGTTAAAGAATGTGTTGAAACAAAGTGTGATCCTACACTATGATGTTTGCTTATGTTTTCTCTACCATACACCTTCATACTGCATATTACAAGTGCTCTTATTGCTAAGCTCTTTGCTCATTCTGAAAGATGTATTTGGCTGGAATTTTTTATTTTTAAAGAAGGTAAAGTTTAGTTTGGCATAACCCATTTAGACTGAAGTATCTGTAGTTACCAAAAAGAGCATTGGTCATCTTCACTGTTTTTTGGCTGCTTAACTTTCTGCTTAACCAAATAAAAAATGACTATAAACTGATAATACCAAAAGTTATTAATATTTCACGACAAACTTATACAATATTGTTTATTGAAAATATAAAATTCTTTTAAAATATTGTTGCAATTGTTTTATCAAACTGTTAATAACCTCATAGATAAGAGCTTACAATTAGATTCTACCACACTGCTCCGTACTATCTGGTATTTACAAAGCCCTATATCAGCTGAATGAAAAACAAAATCAAGGTTTCATTTTTTGGCGATCAGAGGCAGATTGAATGTTATCATTATATGCTGTTGAATAGTAAGCTTTTACTATGAGGAAAAACTATCAGCTGGGATGGTGGTGGAAGAGGAGTGGCTTAGCTGATAAAGTTTCCGAGACCCGCGAAGATTCTTGAGTGTCATCTTCAGTTTCTGTCTTTCACCTTCAACCTCGGCAAACTGGAGGCTTAGCTGGGAGTATCTGCCATGCATATCATTCAGTTCATTCTCCATTGCAGCATGCCTTGCCTTTAGCTCCAACATTTCTTTAATCACCACGTTAATGTCTCTAAAGCTCTTGAAGATGGCTTCTTCATCACTATGTTGCTTGAAGAAGGAACTGGATGATGTATGAAGTGTAATGATTTCAAAACACAATGCAAGAGAATGCCCAAAAATAAATAGGACAAGCTATATACAGAGTATGTTAGTAGACAAACCACACTTTCTTTTTTCACCCGTATCCCAAAATAATCACTCATTTTCTTTTGAGAAAAACATTGTGGTTCACATTATTTCTTTATCTTCTATAAAAATCTCAGTCACACGCCTTTCATCTTTTGACTTCGTGCCTGGTCAAACTGGGCACTAATGTAGGGACAAGAGGGAGTGTGATAATTGAAAGTGTATTATTACCTGTGAATGATATTTGATTCGCTCTTTTCCTTCAAAGCTTCAGCAAGCTCTACCTCCAGTGCAAGGACCCTTTCCAATGCATTGCCGCTGGTTGTAATTTCATTGAAAAGTGGAAACATGCTTCTAAGATCTTCGTTTGTCTTTGGAAAAAGAAAGAGCAAAATGATCAGCAGTGATTATGTTGAGTACTCCTTCCATCCCAAAAAGATCTTTACATTGATTTAATTTGTTCAAATATTGGTGTAAATTAAGAAATACAATTTATACGTAGTATATCTAGACTCTGTGAATATTAAACGTAAAGATCTTGGGGGCGGAGAGAGTATAAAAGATATTATAAAATCATTTGATAGTGATCTCATAAGCTAGAAGAAAAGAAGAATGTCTGTATAGTGTATACCTTGCGTAATTGTTCAAGTTCTCTCTGGGAAGCCTGAAAATCTGGGTGAAAATTATGATCCTTGGGAACAAGAGAGTTTTCGTTTTTCATCCTTTCCAACTGCAAGCCATAGGCATTTTTTTGCTTTATTTCTCAAAGTTCAGTTCTAAGTAGATCACCCACACACACCCACGCACGCGCACGCACCCGCGCGCGCGCACACACACACGCACACACTCACACACATATCTGTGTGTGTGTGTGTGTGTGTGTGTGTGTGTGTGTGTGTGTGTGTGTGTGTAGGTTTCTTGTAATATCAAAATTCCGAAGTAAAGCAACACAACTACACAAGATTCAAAAATACCTCTGCATGTAGGTGGTCCAAGCTAGCCCTCAAATTTTGAATTTCAAACAGATTGCTATTCACATCATAACTTGTTGATGGAAGTTCTTCAATAGACAGATGTTGGCTGTCCAGTTTTCCTTCAACAGAAAGCACAACCTGACAAATATGGGGGGGGGAATCTTCTCAGGAGCCCAAGATTACACAAAAGGAAAAGATACTGTATATGCCAGCATTAAAGATGCCGACATATAACATTCCTGAAATAGTTTTGCTCGCTTAGTTTGACCCTTTTGCTTACAGTGTCGTGTGTCTTTGAAAGGAACAATTTTAAACTTCACTTTTAGAAACACACAAAGTAACGCTCGTGTGCAGATATTATAACATAGAGAAAATCTCAACAATAAATTATGTAACATCACTCTAGCCTCACTAAAAGTTACCTGAGCTGTTTGTGAAATGTCGAGCAGAGCCAAATCCTCACTTTCACCAGCAGGAGTTGAGCATGCATCCAACTTTTCTGGACAACCCAAATATTCTTGATGTGAGGAATTTGGGGACAAAGATTTAGGGTATTCATCAGTTGCATGTTTTACTTCTTTGCTAGTACTTTGGCACTTAAAAATCTCCAGCTGATGTTTTGTCGTAGACCCATCTCTTGCATGTCTAGAGTATTCTCCCTTATATTCTTGCAAAGATGCTTCAAGCTTTTCCTGTTCTTCCTTGGAGCATTCTAAGCTTAGAAGTGCACAATCCAGTTCTGCCTTTATCCGATCATGAGCTTTAGCAATTTCACGCTTTTCATACAGTACAGACTGTAGTTCAGATTCCAAAGCCGAGAGCTTGAGGGCTAGTTCCTCATTTCTTTTAGTGTGTAAGGCATCAGATCTCTTCCTACCTTCATTTTCATCAATTGCATCTTGGAGCTTCAAAAGCATGTCTTCTCCATGTCTTTTAGACATAGAAAGCTGTTGCTTCAGTTCTTGTACCTTTGTCTCGTATTGTTCTTTAATAAAGGCTATCCGTAAGGATTCTGGCTTGGGAACCGGTGGTCCTTGAGATTCTTTTTCTTCCCTAGCCAGCACACATTCTGCTTCAGCCTTAGCCTTTTGTTCCTTTAAATGAAGAGATAAATTCTTGAATTCTTCAGTCTTCAAAACTTGCTGAGCGAGCTTGTGCTCAAGCTCATTAAACTGAGATTGTAATGTCAGCAGCTCATCTTGGTATTTCTCTAGCAAACTCATATAAGGAAGCTGTTCATCTAATTTGCTTCTGAGCACAGTCACCACTACCCCCAGTTCCTCTTTGGAGACTATCAAGCAACAAATCTCTTCTTCTGCAATTGTCAGCAAGTCTTTGAGATGTCCTATTTCGAGTGCACGACTATGTTTAGCCTTTGAAAGACAAACTTCTAGATTTGTGACTTCATTCTTGTATTCCTTTACTCTCGACTCTAAAGCATTGTTATAATCTGAAAGAACCTTATTTTGAGCAAGAGAGGCTTCCAGATCAGATCTTACAGTATCGAGGGATGACAGCAACTTTAACTTTTCATCACAATGATTTGCCTCATTTGCAAAATCAGGATTCAGTTTTGCTTGAAGATCATCATATTGTTCCCTAAGGTTTCCAAGACACCCATCAGATAATTCAAGCTTCTGAACAAGACTTCTCATTTCATTAAGAAGAGATGAATCTTCCTTGAGTTTTTCAATACACTCATCCCTCTGCAGCAAATGATACTGTAGTTGGGATTTCTCCACTTCTAACTCTGATGCCCTCTCTCGAAAATGAGCCAGTTCGGTATTTAGCTTTTCCAAGTCAAGTATATTCAGATGTTTTACATTTAATTCAGAAGTAAGATCTCGTACCCTTCCCTCTAATTCAGCATTAGAATCTTTCTGAGAATCCAATTCATCAGACAGACTTCTAAACTTATCTTTCAAACTAATGATTTCAGATGACAGCTTGACAGACTCCTCAGTTTTACCCTTTAATGAATCTGTGAGATCTTGCCTCTCTTGTATTAGATGAATGTTTTGCATCTCCATTGCATTTAAACTCCCATGCTTCTCATTTAACTGAAATGTAAGGTCTCGAGTTGTATCCTCGAGTTTGGCCTTAGAATCTCTCTCAGAGAGCAATGCATCATGCAGTGCTCTCATGTTTTCTTTCAGACAGCTGATTTCAGATCCAAGATTTGCAGATTCCTCAGTTGCACCCTGTAAGGACAACACAAGATTGTGCTTCTCTTGTATTAGCTTCGTGTTACACTTCTCCAGTTCAAGCAAGCAGTTATGCTTCTCATGCAGTTCAGTAGTAAGATCTTGCACTCTACCTTCCTTAGAAGCTTTTTCCGATTGCAATTCATCGTGAAGACTTTTCAACTTCTCTTTTAGATCACTTATTTCTGATCCAAGCTTGACAGATTCCTCAATCGTGCCTTGCAAAGAAATCATGAGTTCCTGCTTTTCTTGAACCACCTCATTATTATGCTTCTCTAAATTGTGCAAGCTATTATTCTTTTCTTCCAAAGTATGCATAAGGTCATGCACCTTAGCCTGTAGCAGAGCGTTAGCATTTATCTCAGAGTGCAACTCATCATGAAGGTTTGCCAATTTTTCCTTCAGATCACTGGCTTCTGATGAAAGCCTAAAAGAATCCTCAATATTGCCCTGCAAAGAGGTCGTGAGATCATGATTCTCTTGCATTAACTCACTATTATGCTGCCTCAAATCTAGTAAGATATCATGCTTCTCATTCAACTGTGAATCAAGATCTTGAACCTTAACCAACAGTGCAGCCTTGGCATCTCTCTCAGAATCCAATTCATGGCTTTGACTCTTCAAGTTTTCTTGCAGACCACAAATATCATATGCAAGCTTAATAGATTCATCAGTTTTACTTTGCAACGTCATCATGAGGTCGTAGTTCTCTTGTAATAACCGAGCAATTGTTGAGCTGCTTCTTTCTATTTCATCTACAACATAATCCAGGTTCAATTTATCTTGAAAGAAATATTCATTTCTTTGAAGTTCAACCTTCCTGAAAGAGAGATCTCCTAACACTATGTTCTGTAGCGCATGGTTTTCATCCATTTCAGCGGTGAATTGAAGTTTATTTGCTACAGATTCAAGTCCAAGCTGAAGCTTCTCCACAAGGGCATTAGATGTGCTTAATTTAGTTGACAAATCTTGCATATTAATTTTAAACCTTTCCTTCAGAGCAAGAATTTCTGAACTCGCTCTGCTAAGGGACACTTCAGAATCATGTTTTTCAATTTCTATGCGCTTGTTCTCTTCCATGAGTTGAATAACCTTGCTAAATGATTTATGTTGGATCTCTTCAACTTGGACCAAAAGCCCTTTGAGATTATTCAAGTCCAAGTCAAGATGATTGGATCTTCCCAAATGAGTCCCAATCAATTGGTGATCATTGGATTCCAACAAATTAACCAGCTTATCTTGCATAAAGCTGGCATTTTCCTGAAGGATTTCCTTTGACTTAGCCAACTCGTCACGTTCTGACTCAACCAATCTCAGGTCCTCCTTTAGAACAGATATTTCAGTATGGAGCTTGTCATTTTCTAGGATTCCTTGTTCTAGTAAATTCGACAACTTTGCATTCTGTTGCAAACAAGACTCATATTTACACAGGCAATTTCCATATTCTGCTGAAATTCTCTCTCCATCCATGAGCTTCTTGGTGAGAAGACAGTTCTCCTCTGAAATCATTTCCAGTTTATCCACTAAAGTCTGATTCTGGAGAACAAGTTCATTGCATTTGTCCAAGCATCTAACCTTCTCCTCCTTAAAAAAGCTAATATCTTCCAAAGCATATTGGAGCTTTGCCATTAACTGATCCTTGCATTCATTTGAAAACTTTAAATGTTGCGCAAGCTCACTCATATATTTCTTCATTAATGCATACTTGTGATCTGCTTCCAGCAGGCTCTCAACTAGAGTCTTTGAGTATATGTCCAAGAAGAAATTAACAGAATGCATTTCATTAAGGTCTTCTTCAACCTTCACATAAAGCGCTTCCTGTAAGCAGAGTGACTTCTTCAAGTCCTCTAAAAAGACATCTCCACAGGCTGCTTGTTTCCTTGAATTTAAATTTTCATTGTAGAGCTGAAATTGCTTTGTAGCATCATAACGTTCTAAGTTTTGCAAGCCATTTATGTACTCAAGGTCGTCTGCCACTGAAGGTTCTAGAAATGCTTGTTTGATAAGGTTCTCATTACTCTGAAACATGGATACAACCTGTGATGAAAGGAGCTCAAGATCCTTTTGTAGTTTCTCAACAGCAATAGAATAGTTCATGCGTGCCCTCCTAAGAGCTGCTTCTGACGAAGCGGCTCTTTCACCAAGCTCTTTGTTAATGGCGTCTAAATTGTGATTCTCGTCAACAAGTTGTGCAATCTGAAGGTGCATATCTTGGCGTAAGGAGTCCAATTCAGCTTCATTGATTGAAAGTGTATACATGCACGTAGAGTGCTCGTTCCTAAGACTCTGCAACTCAGTAAGCATTTGCTTCTGATTCTCCTCAAGCTCTTGAACAAGTGCTTCATAGTAGCACTCCATCTGATTCATTTTCTTAACAAGGGTTTCCCTTTCAAACTTTGCCTCATCCAGTTCTCTTATCAGATCAAAATTAGGTCCTTGAGAAACTAGGGCAGGCATGCTAAATTGATGAAGTATATCTTCAGGTGGACACAAATCCAAATCCAAACCGAGTCCTGGCAAAGAGTGTTGTGCTTTTTGTAAGCAACTGTTGCGTAACTCTTTTGCATCTGCATTTATGTGTGGTGCAATGTTTAACAAGGATATTTCATCCATTGACCCTAGCTTTATATCATGCAAAATCTGAAGCACGGCCTCAAATTCAGACTGGAGAAACCGTTGTTCTCTTTCATGGAAGCCAAGGTTCAACTTTTTTTGGAAGTCCGTTAACCTTTCTTCGAGCAGTAAAATTCTTTTGATCCATTTATCTTGAGTTTCTTGAATTAAGGGGCAATTTTGCTTTTCTGTACAATGAGGGGTTATCTGTAAATTCTGTAGTCTTTCAATATCATCCTTGGCCTTCAAACATTCAAGTTTCAGGACATGCACCTCTTTTGCCAATTCTTCGCCAGAGGATATCTCAGCAGCAAGAAGGTGAGCAAACTTATCAGTTGCAATGCCTAATTCATCGGCTTGTCTTTGAATAGAGCTTACTTCTATCTTAAGCTCAAAAATGTTTGATTCTTCCAATTCTAAGCTTGCTCTGATCTGATTGCTGTCATCACGTGCAATTGCCAAGTCATTGCCCATAGAGCAGTCTGAACCCCATCCATGAAATGAGTCATTACTCCCATGAGCCAAAGCTTGACTTTCATAAGAATTTGTTTGTCTTTGTTGTGGGCTTTGACAATGGAGAGGTTCATTTGAGTCACCAAAAGCTTCACTCTTCAGGCTATCAATTTCATGTGCACTTGAGGTATCATTTTTCTCGGCATTGAAGCTTTCCGATGTGTTGGAAGAGCCATCAAACCCAGCAGTCAAATCTCCAGGTTCTTCTACTTCTTCAACTGACCAGAGTTCTTTGGCATCTGGTCTAAATTTAGTCTTTCTGGTTACCTGCATCACCGCAAAAGGAATCAAAATGGTTTCATACTTTCAAATGACCTAGAAACTATATCAACATAAAGCTTGATCTGCAAAGGAGGCATGACGCATGCCATGGTACTCTTCACATTTTACTGAAAAATAGATACCCAAATCCTGCAAATGGGTTTTTGTAAAGGCAGGTAAACCCATTATAAGCTTTTTTTTCTGAGGAAGAAAAAAAATTGTATTAAAGACAAATATTGATACCTTTTCCATTTCATCACGGGCAGCATCTTTGGAAACTGACACTTTTCCAGGACCCTTATAATCAGGCTTATTATCAACTCCTGACTGCAAGCCCCTCTCACTGAGTTCCCTTTGCTGCTCAAATTCTCTGTAGCGAAATATACACTACAATAAGTTGTTATTAAGGGTAATTATCTTCATTTACAGTTAAAGTCTTAAAGATGCCACACCTGAATCCTGTTTTGGATGTTAGCAACTGCACAGTGACCTGGAAAAATAACATTTACTTAATAGAAATAACAAACACAGAAAACCAGATATCTGTTAGCAACTGCTTTGCAATAATTCAAATTGAACCGTTTGAGAAATCAAAGATATATCCCGGCAATGAGATTGTTAAAATTTGATCTTATTCAAATATTAAATTGAAATGATCTTTTTTTAACCTATTAAGATCAAGAGGTAGAGAACCACTGAGGTCCAAGCATCAAGAAATATAAACAAGTAAAATGGAAAAGACAAAAAATCAAGTTACTGGAATAAAGTCTAATAATATATTGCAACATATTTACGCAATAATTGTGGCTATCCAGGTAAAAAAAATTATACTCCAACTTAGATTTTAGCTAGAAAAAAATAGGCATCACATGGTAAGAGAGAACAAAAAAATCTGGAAAATCCTGACTCACATGTAATATAGTTCCAGTATCAGAACCAAGAAGAGGTAATGCAACTATGGAAGGCTTTGAAGTATCAACATGTTCGGCAAGGTTGATTGAAGCCTCACCAAGAATGCTAGCTCGTGAAGAACCCTATAATCAGTGAAATCAAATTCAAAAACATATTTCTCTCTGCGAAAAACTAAAGTTCACAAGATATACAAGAACGACAAGTGATCCGTGATTTGTTTTATTGGTCCCAAAAAGCCGGAAAAGAACATTTTTCATAATTTTATTTCCTTACAACTGGCAATCCAGTAAAAATGGATTGACCATGAATCACGTAAATTATTAATAATGGCGATATAGATATATACATAGGTAACATAAATTTCAGAGATAATGTTCACCATTGCAACAACAAGTTTGTAGAGCTTCTCATCATATTCTTTGCTCTTAACATCTTGGAGAAGCCTGGTAGTTTCATAAATAGGATCTGCCCATTTGCAGGTTCCATTTCGCACATTTGCTTTTGTTGTCTTTGCCGTTGTCTTGCCAGTGTCCGCTGCAATAAAGGATACAAATAACTTGTCCCATCCATTCTGTGGAATCTGTAGCATCAAAACAGACACGCCTTTGCTTAGTTTAGTGAATGCACCCGCAGCTCCAAAGATAATCCTTTTCATAAACGTTCATCGACAGAAAGTTGACGGTTTTACTGGTATTTTCACCATACGAACTTGGACAGCACAAGATTAGCATGATTCATGGCTTTTGTGGAGTTATTGTAAATGCACAATTCAAGTTCAGAACAGGTGGTTAGCTAGACCCTTTGGAATGAACTTGGTTTCTAGAATTCGAATTGGGATAAACATGAAACAACACAAACACAAGTTCCAAATAGACTAACCTACAAATTAAACAGAAGCTAAAACAAAACCCACCCCAACTCAAGCTCGAAGCTAGACCAAAGAAGACAGAACAAAATGAATTAAGAATCACAGTTTAAAGCTAGTAAATGTATCTTCACGAAGTTGATTCAAAGATCAAATGCAATTTCACATACTGAATAAGAAGCTTACATGTGTTGCATGAAACTGAAGCCGAAATACCACTTTAACTTTATTCTTATCCAGCTTCCACTTGGTGACCCTTGACATTATTCTGATTCTATTCCGCCATTAACGAACAAAGCTAAGGTGCCAACTTCGGAGTGGAGATTTTTCAGGCAGGGGCGGGATGAACAGCACGCGGATTAGAGGTGTCGGCGATGTGGTTTAGTAGAAGCTAGCCGGCGCACGGAGGAGTTGAATCCGATGACGACGGACTGGCGGTAGCGGGTTGGTGGGTTTTTTTGAAGGGCGGAGAGGAACAAAGAAGAAGACGATAAGGAAGCTCCACAGTCAACAACAGAGACTGTACTCGGATGCTCAGATCTAGGATAAACGGGTCGGGCGGGTACCGTTCATTTGTCCAAACTCGAACACAACCCGATTAACGCTGGTGAGTGGCATGGCTCCAAAGTAAGCAGTAAAATGCCCGTTGATAAACAGTTTTTTTATGTCAGGTTCTTTATAAATCAAATACCGATATTTTTTTATAAAAGTAAATTAATTTAAATGATAGATAAATTACTTTTAAATATTTATAAATGATAAGAGACAGTATTGTAAATAATTTAATCAAAATAGAGAAATAAATAAACTGATTTAAAAATATATAGTTATGACCTATTTATTTTTTTGACTTATAAGTAGCCTACAAATCAACTCATAAGCACATAGAGACATGTGATCACCTAAGTTATAAGTTAAAAACTACTTATAAGCAATGCTAAACAAGTTTATAAGCACAGAGAAATACTCACTGAATTTAGATAGTCCAAGCACGGTCCACACAATTTGGGTTGGCTAGACCCGTATTCAAAATAAGATTATTAGACTCTCCATTCTCTAATAAATTCTGCTGAGTTTATTTTTCTTTTTACAGTTTCGAAATTAATTCTACATTCTTTTATCTTTTCTTTAATGAAAAAAAGGATAAATGACTAACAACCATTTCTATCATATCTACACAAAATTTATTCCTAATTTTTTTTCCTTTTTAATAATTTTTAAAAATTTCGCATAATTATTCGGCGTCTTTTATACCAAAAAAGGGAGTAAGAAATAGTTCTTCAATAATATGGTGTTATAAAATATTTTATACTCATTCTATCACGCCATTGCATTTTGTGAAACTCGTGTGCGGATCAAGTCAATTTGGTTACGGAATGTGGAGCTTTTGTTGATTGTGAGCATTTGGTTATTAAAGCGGTTTTGGATGAAAATGCTAATCTTTCATCTTATTTTGGTACCTAGGTAACTGATTGTAAAGTCTTGTTGACTATTTTTCCTTCCAGTTTTATTTTGTTTGTTAGGAAGGCTAATGTAATGGCTCATAGTCATGCAAGGCGAGAGGGAAGTCAGCGATTTTTGTGGGTTTCTACTCTTCATGAGTCTGTATCATCCATGGTAATTTATTAATGGAGTTCTTTCCCTGAAAATATATACGTCCTCCGTCCCTCATAAATCTTTTCATTATGTGTTACGAGGTATTGACTGATTTTCTTTTCAATTCAATTTATTACTCCATATATTGTAGCTGTAAAATTTAAAAAATAAAATTTAAAAGATAGAATTTACATGAAAAGTTCTACAAAACAAGAAATGACAAGACTTTTATTAAGTAGTAAACAAAATGAGTTACGTTTGACTTTGTGAATATTATATGGAAAGATATATACTCCCTCCGTCCCAAATTTAATTACAAATTCAAATTTATGAGGTAAAACATCGTATCTTTTGAAATTATTTAATTTACAAATTGTTACATCAATAAAAAATAAAAATTACACATTAAAAAACTACATCAAAAGTTATACAAAATAGGAGGTGACAAGAATATTTTATTTTATTAAATAATTATTAAAAACACATAGACAAACAAAATGAAGTATGAGGGATAGATAGAATATTTGATATAATAACCATATAATGAATGCCCTATTCAAAACGACTAATATATCAACTTGTTTTATGAAACATTATATTGTATGTACTTACACTCTGTTGTCATACACTAAAATCTGTGGGTTGGAGTACGCTAGTCACAATACTTGGATTTTAAAACTAAATTTTACTCCCTCCGTTTGGAAAAAACTCTTCCCATTTTAATTTGGGCAAAAATAAGAAAGTATTAAATTATAGTTGATTTCCAATTTTGCCCCTAATGTGATGGATATATTATTAAAGAAAAAGTATGATGTGATAGGTAGGGTATGAAAAAGTAAGGGTAAAAGTGATTTTTTAATAGAAAAGGGAAGTGTTTTGTTGGAAGTGGAAAAAATGAAAGAGGAAGTGTTTTTGAGAACGGAGGGAGTAATACAGAGCAAGAACAGAAAATTACTCACGGGTGACGCGAGTTTTGTTGAAATAACTCTCAGGTCCCTCTATTTTCAAGAAGACAGCAGAGGTCCTTACATTTTGTTGTAATGACTGGAAGGGGACATTTCATCCAATATTTCATCTATAAACGTTAATAAATGTATTTTTTTTCCTATTCTTTTATAAATGTTTTAAGGTAAAAAATCTTAGGTCGCTTCTTTTTTATTTCTTTGTTTTTCTTTCATTTTGTTACTATTTTTTAAAGTGTTATTTTAGAATTTCTTCTATAAAATCGTATAAAAATTCAAAATTGTTTGTATTATATTAAAACAAATGAAATAAAAAAATTTAAAAAAAGAAAAAATAAGGTAATGGCAAAATAGGAAAAAACGGTATTGGAAAAATAGGAAAAAATATATATTTATTAACACTTACGGATGATGTATTGGATGAAATGTCCTCTCTCAGTCATTACAACAAAATATAAAGACCTCGGTTGTCTTTTTGAAAATAGAGGGACCTGAAAGTTATTTCGACAAAACTCGCGTCACCCGCGAGTAATTTTCTGGAGCAAGAAAGAATGCTTCTTTGGTAGACTTAATCTAATAATGTTCACACCATTTTAGGTGGGTTTTCATATGAGTGTGGTAACTGGTAACTAAATGCTTACTACCCTTATAAACATTTTTTTGCATTATTTTACAAAAAAAATACTTACCAATTAGTAAGTATTTGCGTGTCACACTCTTATGAAGATCTACATAAAACGGCATAGAGCTTATGTCTACAATAGCATTTGCGGACGAGTAAGAAAAAGTAAAATCAAATTACAGATTTCTCGGTTTGTTGTTGGCTTTTTTGTTTTGATTGATTTAGTTATATACTTTGACTAGATGATTATGTTATTAGTTAATAAGAATTATTTTGTAAATTTAGCTAGCTGTTCATAAAAAAACTATTTGTAGTGAAAATTAATGTTAATTAATGTGTTATTATAATTGATTTAATTTCTTTAATTATGATAAAAATGCAAACTATTTAAATGACCAAAACGAACAATACAATATTAAAAACCACAACAATATAATAAAAACAACTTAAAATGATACTGTACTTCTCTCCCAAATTTTAGAAAAAAAAAACTGCGATATACTCCGGGGTAGTTATTTTTCAAAATTTCCCAAAAAAAAAACAGATCTAGTTCTAACACTTCCATAAAAACGTGTCGAGTATGAAAAACAAAAATGTTAAGGGTACACCAAAAATGTACGTTATTATATTAAACTCTCCACCACACACTTTTTATGTGGACATGAAGAGAGAGGAATGAATATGAAATGTGAGGGAAAAAATTTGTGGTATACAAATGATAAACCCTTTTGATATATCTCTAGTTTACTCGTAAGAGCAACTCCAATGATAGTAGTTATACTCCAAAACGTAATATTTTACTTTCTCAAAAAAGTAATATTTTACTTTTCTCAAAAAAGTGTGTGATTCCAATGGAAGAAGGATAAATTTAAAAAGCTAAGGTAAACTTGAAAATACAATTTATTTGTATTTAAATGATGGACATATTCTTAAAATTATTAAAAGTGATTATTTACTATTTAATATTAATAAAAAATCAATAAATATTAAAAAACCAAAAGAGAAAGGATACACACCCTAGAGGCCTAGAGTTATCAAAATTGGCATCTTACGCAATTTCAATAAATATTTGATAAAATAAAATATTTTTGTCACCTCTTGTTTTGTAGAACTTTTGACGTAGTTTTTTAATATGTAATTTGTATATCTTATTGATATACCAATTTGTAAATAAAATAATTTCAAAAAGTAAAAAATTTTACTCTGTAACCCGCAATTTGTAATCAAATTGGGGACGGAGGGAGTATTAATTTTAGGAGCTATTCTAACTGCTGAGCTAACTCCAAACACAAAAAAAAAGCTTTTACCTTAAGTCAAACCGACATACGTATCCGTAAAGGGAAATTTTGGTGAAAACACCATTTACCAAACGAGGCGAATAAACCGTACTACTTGTCTACTTCTAGGAAAAATTACAACTTTCACCCCACTTGGATCGTGTTCTTTTGGACTCAAATTTCATAATTGGATGTTAGAAAAAATTAAAAGAAACTCGAAAAAATTGGAAGGACGGTAAGTAGTTAAAAAAATTAGAAAGAGTTAGAACTGTAAAAAAAATTAAAGTGTTAAAAAATCACTCAATTAAATGATCATCTAAATAAATTTGTAGAAAAACTCTAATATTGGATAAAAAGAATTTATCTGTGTCCATATTTGAAGTGATATGTTATAAATTTAGATGTATAATCTCCTTGTATATTTGCCATATATAAATATCCTTTGTAAGTCATTGTTGAAAGAAATTAGAAAGAGCTGAAAGGAACTGAAAATAGTTAGAAGAAACTAAAAGAAATTAAAAAGGTTAAAAGTTAAATTTTTTAACCCAAAAGAAAATGGTCTTAGCTAGTATCAGTACAATCGCATAATTTTGCATTGAGAAATTTACATAAATAGGACCAAAACATAATGACTTTTCCAATATAGGACCATATGTTTTTATTTCCAAATGTAAGACTTTTAGTCATTATCAAGTAGTCATTATTCAAGTAAATGTCCATCATTAGAGGACATTATTCCTCACACTAAGTCATTATTAAGTCTTATTTAGGGAATAAAAAAGTTTAAGCCTTACATTGGGAAAATCATTATGTTTTAGTCCTATTTAGCGCAAATTTTACTTTTGCATTTAGTATGACTTAAAAATGTACCCATTTAAATCATTGATGTGCAATTTAGTGTATTACAAGTGATATACGCCTACAAATCGTAGGTGGTAGTAGGAAGAAGACTTCCAAGACGTAAACAAAGATTGAAGCAAGTGGTAGACACCAAAAATCCAGGCCGCCAGCTAAGGAATACTCCGTTTAACTGAAAATTCAACGCGAATTTTGTAGAGAAATTACAACGAAAATTCAACCAATGTCCTCATTTCAAAAAGAAAAAGATGAACTTATCTAGAGACTAAGCACAATTAGTCTTTCAGTCATTTCAGAAGAGAAGAACTAAATTTCAATCCGAGATTAAAAGCAAAAAGTGAATCCTGTGTATTTGCTATTTGCAGAGATTTTATTCTTAGCATATTTCATATATAGCTAGTGCAGTTGTTGGAAATTTTGATCTCAAATATTATCCACTAAATACCTCTTGTCTTTTAATTATACATAATTAAAAGAAAAAAAATATGGTAAGCTCGAAATACTAACTACTCCCTCCATCACATTTTAATATGTCTACTTTGGTTTACAATATTTGAAAACTTATTTTTAACTCAATCTTTTAGACTTGAGGTGTATTTAAAAAATAAAATTTATATATTTAAAAATTACGGAGTGCATTAAATATCTTCGAAACATGAGTGACATGATTATATCTTTTATCAAATAGGTAGTAAAAATAATTAAAGATTATCAATAAAATTTGATTTTATGAATAGTAAACATGTCATTTAATTTGGGACATTAGTGATCCGTATAGTTTTTATTTGTCGAAGACGTAATTTGGTACTATTTGTATCCCGTATATTGGTTTTAAACTAAACGAATTGAATTCATTAAGCTGAATGAACTACTATATCCATTCTATTATTCTTGAGACCTGAGGGAGTGATATGAATTAAGAAAAGTAAATTTGTAGAGCTGATATTTACATTAAAAATTGCTACATATAGTACTAGATAAAATAGAAATGATTGTAAACCTCAAGGATCTTGTAGTCCAATGTCACCTCTATCATATGAGAGATATGATCATGTGCTTGATCTTTCCGTTTCTTTCAGTTCCTTCCATTTTCTTTCAATTATTTTCATTTCCTTCAAACTCTTTCTACTGCCCAACCAATTACTCTAAGAGCATCAACAATGGCAAGGCAAAAATGGAATGCCACACGGTGACATGGAACATTTTAACCAATCAAAAATAGTCCAGTCAGCGTGTGACAAGTAAATGGAGTGGCAAGTCCTACAATGACAAGTCATTATTTTTTATCACTTTTTTACATTTTTTTTTATTTTTTTAAATATAAAAAAAATATTTTTATTATTTATTTTATAAAAAAATTATTCTACTTTCTTGTACATTTTTTTCATAAAAAGTTTTTAAAAAAAATTGTTTAAGAAAAAAGAAAACAAAGTAGTATGAAGTACCACACTCATGTCTCGCCAAGCAAGGCATTTTGACTTTGTCATGCCATGATATGAGTGGAAGAATCTGATGTGGCAGTGCAAGGCATCCATCTTCCTTGTCATTGCACATGCTCTAAAAATGATATATTTTTAATGTGATTATTATTATTATTATTACTATTACAATTGTTATGTTCATAACTATAGTTTATAAATTATTTTTTTCATCTCACTATTTTTATGATTCACACTCATTATTTTTCTTCAACTTTTTAATATGAACAAAATAATTTTTTTGTATATTAATCTACATGATAAAACAAGAAAACATCAATATGTTAAAAAATTATTGATAAAATAGTGACATAGAATATTTTATTAATCTCACTTTTTTAAGGCCTCTCACCTTTCCCTTTATTACTTAAAATTTTCTCATTTTTCTAATTTTTATAAAAAAAATTGAAAGTCAAAATAGTTTAGAGAAAAGACTAAAATATGACTAAAACATAAAAATGTAAAAAAAAAAAGTTTTATGTCTTTATTCCAAAAATAGGACTTCAATGAAAATTAAATGTCAATCATGAAAGAAAAAATAGGTGCAAGTAACCACAAAAACTTTTTAAAATGTAATATTTTTACATTTATGCTAACTTTATATTATAATCTTTTTTTTCAAAAGTAGTTTTTTTGTATTTGAAAAATAAAATACTTTTTTTTGTATCTTAAAGGCATTTATTAAGATAACGTGATGATGATGATTATGATGATGATAATAATAATAATAATAGTAATAATTTATAACAACAATTATTTAAAATAATTTTTTTAAATTTTTTTTAGGTTTTCTAATTTTTTGAATTTTTTTCCCGTTTCTTCAAATTTTTCCAGTTTTTCCAGTTCCTTCCAATTTTTTCCATTTTCTTCCAACTTCCAGTTCTTTTTTCCCAATCCTAAAGAACAGGCTTTAAATGAAATAGAGAAAAAACAATGAAATGGACAAAAAAGTAAAATGAGGCCAAAATACTACTTCCACCAGCCTTAAAATTCTTTTCCTTTTCATTTTCACTTGTTTAAAAAAAATCATTTGGCATAATTAGATATTAATCCCCTTATTTTTCTAAATCTAACTTAACATATGTGTCTCAATTTCCTTCTTCATTCCTACTTCTCATGCATTCTAATATTTTCCAAACATTTGACGCCATTTACATTTGGTCAAACACCTATAATTTCTCCTCTCAAAACTTAAAACATAAAATATTATCAGGGACGTAAGAAATAATGTATATTCTGTATTTTAGTAGTGTGTTTCGAAGTGAATTTAATTGAATAAAAAAAGAATAAACTCCATCCCAGAGGTCCCTCAATACTGGTCAGACAGTTAGCTAAGGAGTATATTGAGCTATAATCTGAAATACTTGGCATATGATCGAGTAGACTTTTGCGTCTGGTAAGAGACCTCATGTTTTGCATGGTTCTTGGCTCCAACTCAAAATCTCTCTTTTAATGTTTTTATGTCAATTGCTGAATTAGGCCTCACTCATTTGATTGAATTTAATACTCCACATACGTGTTACTTCTCTTCGTGAAGATCACGATTTCACCCGACATAAAATCTACTCCCTCCGTCTTAAAATTAACTTCTCATTTGACTTTTCACGGTCTCTAATGCGATACTTTGACCATTAATATCTTAATTTTTATATAATTATATATTATAAAAATTATACTCCGTATATTTCAAAATTATGTTTGAAAATGAATCTATTACTAATAAATTTATATGAAAATTCAAAGTTTAAAAAATTTGACTATAAAAGTCAAACTGTGAAGTTAATTTTTGTACGGAAGGAGTATCTTTTTTTAAATGTTCTTGCATTATATTGCCTTTGTCTACAATCTATTAAAAAAATCTATTTAGGACATGTTCTTTAGGACTATAAAAAAGAGCTGGATGTTGGAAGAAACTGGAAAGAATTGGAAGAAACTTGAAGAAACTGAAAGAACTGGAAGAAACTAGAAGGAACTGGAAAAAAACTGAAAGAAACTGGAAGAAATTGGAAAAACTGAAAAAAATTAAAAGAAACTGAAAAAACTAGAAAAAATTGAAAAATCTTAAAAAACTTTTTTTTAAAAATTTATGTGTGGTTTTATATTATTCTCTTTCTGATTCTTGTTGTTATAAATTATTATTATTATTATTATCATTAGCATTATCATTATTATTATTATTATTATTCTTGTTGTTGTTGTTGTTGGTGGTGGTGGTAGTGGTGTTATCACGTTATCTTAATGATTGTCTTTAAGATAAAAAAATATTACGAGTTTTATTTTTCATATATAAAAAGCTAGTTTAAAAAAATAATTAGAATATAAAATTAGCATAAATATTACACTTGGGTCATTTGTTCTTTTTCAAAATGTAGTTTTCTTTTGGTTTTCATAATATTATTCTTCTAGGTCCTTAAATGTAATTTACCTTATATAAATTTATATTAAAAAAATATTCTATATAACTATTTATCCATAATTTTTTAAATAGTTTCCTAATTTTTCATGTAGATTAATATATAAAAGACGGTATTATTCATATTAAAAAGTTGAAGAAAGTGGAAGAATGAATGTGAATCATAAAAATAGTGATATGAAAAAATGAAATAATTTATAAACTATAGTTATGAACATAAAAGTTGTAATTAAAAAAAGTTGTGATAATAATAATATATTTTTTTAGAGTGATTTGTCGGAAAGTAGAAAGAATTTGAAGAAAAGAAATATAGTTGGAAGAAACTGGAAAAAACTGTAAGGAACTAGAAGAAACTAGAAAAAACTGGAAGGAACTGAAAAAAATTGGAAGAACTGGAAGAAACTGGAAAGAAATGGAAGAAATTGGAAGTTAAGAGTTCAAGCTCTAAAGAATAGACCTTTACTCGTGTACATAGACAAAAATCAACTTAAAATAGTCCCATAGTCTTTTTCAAATGAGTCCCATAGTATTTCCACTTCGTAGCTATGACCATGTTTGAAAATAATATATATAATAATCTTAATTAATGTTTTATCGATAAATTTTAATGGTGCGGGTAGATTAATCGATCTTGTAATTCTCTGGTCTCTTAAAGTCCTTGCCATTTTAATTTTTAGGAGAATTAAGAGAAGATATTTTTGTATTAATTTTTCGAAAATATTCTTGAAGTGATAACTAACAGTATGAGTAGATTATTTTCTTTCCAAAAATGTAATGAGTAGATTATTAGTAAAAATATACTCCCTCCGTTCCACAAAACTCTTCATATTTCGTTTTTTTCTTTCCACAAAACACTTCCACTTTCTATTAAAAACCATTTTTACCCCTACTTTTTCATACCTTACCTATCACATCATACTTTTTCACTAATAACCAAACTATTACATCTTACTTTTTCCCATCACATTAGGGGCAAAAGTGGAAAGTCAACCAAAATTACACTTTTCTTATTTTTCCCCAAAGTCAAAACCGAAAGAGTTTTGTGGAACGAAAGGAGTATAATGTGATAGGTAATGTAAGAATTAATAGAAATAAAAATGATTTTTTTAAAAAATAGAAAAGACTTTGAAGGAAAAAGAAAAAAGAAAAGAAGGAAAAGTTTAAGGGATGGGGATTAAAATACTACCATTAAAAATTATTATACATTATTATTGTTAAATAATCTTTTAAATAAACTAAAGATTCTAGACTATAGTATACTAGAATTATTAATCTGTCCAACAATATAATGGAATGACTGAAAATTCAAGCCTGGAAGCAACAGAAGGCACAACTCTCCCTCCATGGCCGTACTAACCACGCGCCGCCGGCAGCCGGGTCCTTCCCTCTTCTCTAGCCTGTGACGCTCTTCCATGACGGCGGCGACGTTTTCGCACACCACCGGGACGCGGCAGAGCGGGCAGCTCACGCGCCAATTCCCGCACCGCAGCAGCCACCTCCCGACGCAGCTCGCGTGGAACTTGTGCCCGCACCTCTCCAGCTCCGTCCCCGCCTCTCCCTCCACGAAATCCTCCAAGCAGATCGCGCACTCCGGCGGCGGTCGGGGCTGCTGGGCCGGGGTAGAACTGCCCGGGCCGCGGGAAAAGAATCGCTTGACCTTGTTTTTATTGGTGTAGACAAACCGGGAAGTCCGCTCCTTGATGGCGGCGCTGAAGGTGTGGGCGGCGGTTGCGCGTTCGCCGGCGGTGAAAAGGAGGATTAAGGCGAGTAAAAAGATCTTGAGAGCTAGTGGGAGGTAGGCGGAGAAGAAAAGGGAGACGAGATTGTGCGTGACAGAATAAAGCCTCCTCACTGCTCTCATCATTTCATTTGTTTACGCTGCACTTTGGTGGCATTTGCGGTATTTACACTGTCCCAAAATAATCCGCTTCTATAAAATACCGACTAACATTTTATATATTTAGTCCCTACATATTTAATATTACTAATTTAGTCTTCAATTATTATATCATTTTTCACGAATAGTTTTTTGTTAACGTTTTTGTTAAGAACATGGATAAGATTGTATATTCATACTTCTCTCTCTGCTTAATTAAGCTTCCTTCCTTCTCTCGTACTCTTTCTCAAACTCGTCGCTGAGTTTGAAGCTCTAAACCCAAAACTGAAATGATCATTATTCCTCTCTCAATTATTAGTCTTCCTGGTGGAACATAAAATCAAAACCAATAAGCTTTATGTATGAGTTTTATTGGCTAGTCTCAAAAAATTACAAAGAAAATAAACATTAAAACTCATCCATGAAGGTTACTGGTTTCGAATTTGGGTTCCACTAGTTAAACAAACAATTGAGAGAAGAGTAATAATTTCGGTTTTGGGTTCAAAACTTCAAACTCAGTGACGAGTTTGGGAAAAGAGTGCGAAGGAATGGAGGAAGCTTAATTGAGGGGAGAAAGGAGTGTGAATTTACAATTTTATCCACGTTTTTAACGGAAATGTTAACAAAGGACCTTTCGTAGAAATGAATATAATAATTGAGACTAAATTAGTAATATTTGATATGTAGGGACTAAATATGTAAAACGACTTATAACTGGAGACCTTTTATGAAACTTATTCAATTTCAAATTATTCTATTTATAAATAAGTACAGTATATTGCGTGTAAAAATAAAAAATATAAAGTGTTTATATTCTTTTTGTCCCAAAACAACTTTTAAGTCCTCCCACCTAAAAAGACATATTTATACTTTCTCATGCTTTTTCAATCAATTTTAAACAATTTCTCAGATATACGAATGTGCGTGCGTATTTTAATAAACGCAATTTCGGAGTAAATAAAGTATGCCATACACTTTTCAAAAAAAAATTACTATTCCATAAATACTAACCCACATTCAGATCAATATTTAATTAAATTATTAACTCTAAATCTTTCTAATTTTTTCCACTTTTCAATTTTTTTCAATTTTTCCAGTACTTCTAATTTTCTTCAAGGCACAATTAATAAAATTATTTTGTATCACTATCTAATACTCCTTTCGTCCCAAAAACTCTATTCTCTTTCTTTTTTTTACTTGTCCACAAAATTCTTTCTAATTCTATTAAAAATCATTTTTAACCCTATTAATTTTTAACTTACCTATCACATCATATTTTTTTATTAAAAATTTAAATATCACATCCTACTTTTACATATTACATCAAAGATTTTTTTGGAAAGTCAATACAAAAATATTACTATTTTAAATTTCATAAAAATCAAAACGAGAACATCTTTTTGAGAATGAAGAAGTACAAATAGACCACCAAAACTTGGGATGTGGCATCAATCTCTAATTTGTTACAGGGTTTAGTCATAAAGATGGAAGAATCACATAAACCCATGCTGATGCACACTTTGAGTTGTTTGACATCTCATGTCTCACATATTAACAAAGAAGAACTATATATATCTGTTTCTCTCCAAGATGTGAAACTTAAAACATACAGACAAGTTTTAATTCAATGAAAACAAGCTTTCTATGAGCATATATGCAATCTTACTAGGAAAGATAGGATCGTGAACAATGTGATTAGACAAATGAGGTGTCCCCCATCTAAGTGAAATAGCCAAAAATAGGCATCTCGCAACTTTTAAGTACCGAAGAATTTGTGAAAGGGGGGGAAATCACGATAAGTTAACTTTAAGTAAAGCTTCTCCAAAAGAGGAAAGCATTTTAGAAGACAAGGTAGGGCCTTTAATGTATCAACTCTTAGATCATTGTGCCTCATACATAGCTCTAACCTCAAGACACTGAAATAACGAGGGTGGATGATTTGGTAGTTCATTAATCTGAAAAGACAAGAAACGTTAGTAAATATACCATTCAATGGTGGACAATCTAGAGAGAATAGACTGCAATCCGGTCTCCTATATACTCACATAAATTAAGTCCAAGGTTTTTAACATTTTCAATGTGAACTTACTATGAAGCTGTAGCAAATTCTTCAAATAAGGGAATCGAGAAAGAAACGAACCAGATATTACATAAAACCCATCATAATGGCAATCAAGTCTAGAGAAAGGATCATCTATGCAAGTAAACTGGAGGTTAAGACCTTCTAGATGCTTTTCAGGAGCAAACTTGATCCACTTACCAACATTGCCAACATGATTCTTATTAAAGCAAAAAGAAAGGCGAAAAGAAGAGATACTTTGATTCTTGAACTGCTGTAAGATTTGGTCCACCTTCTTCACATATACTGTCTTAAAGAGATGACAATCATTTAAATAAAAGATTCCATGGAAACCAGACAACTCACACCAATCTAGGTTAAGGCAGGGCAAGGTTAACCATACATATCTCCACCTTCTTGATATTGTACTCATTTTTATGGCGTCAAGTGACGAAAGATGAGAGAAAATCTGGGATTAAAGCTCATCTGGCATATCACTAATGTAATTCTCCGCATTAGGAAAATTTTGAATCTTGTCATTCAATCTGTCACAGTCGCCCTTTGAAGTAGAATCAACCTATTAGATCCAATCTCTAAGTCAGAAAAATGACAGTGATGTATTTGAATAAATTCAATGGAAAGTGGTATACATTGTATAGGCGTTCAAGCGAAAAATATACTCCGTATGAACTAAGGGGGATCTCTCTACACCATCTATTAGATCCAATCTCTAAGTAAAAAAAGAAAAGAGTAATGTATTTGAATAAATTCTTAGGCAGAAAAGAATAAACTAACAAAACAGACACAAATCATCCATTTGTGTACATATGGTCACATCATGGAAGGTGGTATACATAGTATATGTGTTCAAGCTAAAAATATACTCTATGAATTAGGGGGTTCTCTGTACACCTAAGAAAATACTCTATAAAAATTAGGTCGAGTAAGTACATACAAGTTTCCGATGAGTTCAAATTAGAAGTTCTAACTTATGAATTATTTAATACCTAACAATAATTTCAGAAAAGATATGGTGAAGAGAACAAACCTTCAATGATATACCTCATGCGAGTTTAAGTGATTGGACGAATGATAGGATTTGAGCCAGAAACCAGCACAAGCTGCGAAACATATCCCTAGGACAAGAATCATTTTTGGGCGAAACAACAGATTTCCTGAAAGTTAACCATGTTCATTGATAATTTTTTAAAGAAAAAGTTTGAATACAGAGTATTAAATAGTAAGGGGAAGGTTCCCATGACATTGTGAACCAATGTCATGGGAACCAAGGTGAAATAGTAAACACCCCAAAGATCACTTATAAACAAATTATTAGCAAAATAATATAACAATTCTAGAATGAAATGTGAACAAAGTAATTACTCCGTATAAGATTGGGCAAATCCCACATAGCCACGGGAGGCATTGGACAAACCTATATGAATTTTAAAATCTATAATGACCATAGATGAACTGTAATTTTACATTTTGGTTAAGGATATGAAGACAAAATCTTCCATGTTGTATACAATTATTAATCCAAATTCATGGTGCTGTACAGCTGCAGAACCATTTGTGAAGATAAATCTGCACACTGTTGTTAAGGTCTAATTGCCATGGCAATCCAAACTCTAAACCCAGGTAAGTTCATTGTGAGACACTGCATGCTAGCTAGTACGTCGTCCTCCTCTAATGAACGAGCAGTGAGAATAATACAAACAAACTAGTGCTGACTGGCCCATGATATAAATCCGAGCTTGAAAAACGTATTCGTACGTATCTTTTTAACAAACTATACTAGTAAGTTTGTTTGCAGTATGCTTCTTGTCAAAGTTATGCCTCTTATTAGCATCTGAGTTAAAATTTAACTGAGAGTATGATATAACTCATACCCCGGATCGGAGTAATATATTCTTTCTTTTTGTCAGCATTTAGATGTTGGCCATGCCGCCATGTGTTGTGGGTCTTGTGTAGCTCACAAGCCATGCGTGGTTGTGAACTTTGGCATACGGGTAGCATGTATGTAGTATGATGTGGCGACAACCATGTGCCAAGCTAAGGAACCAACTCCATCTTGCACCGTGTGTCCTCATGTTACCTAACATAGTTGCTATTTGCTAACCAACACACTTGCCAGTAACCGAACTTGAATCTTACCTCATTGCACTCTTTGTCTTTGTCAACTGCCAGGGGCGGAGGAGAGGGGGGGCTGCCGGGGCACGTGCCCCCCCGGCGAGCTTCCAGCGAAGAGGCGGTGACCATCGGTTGGGATTCACCAACGATGAATGTGCCCCCCCGACACTTCGATGAAGATGACGAGATGTAGATGGAAAGCAACTGTTTGAATGTTTCAAGCTTTATCTTTTTTTAAAGTTCAACAACTTTAGTTAAAACCGACACTAAATACGACGCCGTTTAGTTAATAGGTTAATGCTTAAATATAAAAAAACCCAAATAGCAGCCCTTGTTCTTCAGCTCTAAGCCGACTCGAGTACTCGACCCAACAATCTTCTTCGCAAAATCGCAGTGACCAAGTATGATTTTAATTTTCAATCAATTGAAATCCTCTTCTGCGCTACATGTTTTTTATTGAATGTTTTTAATGTTTTTTTAATTTCTGATTTGCTTGTTATTTTGTGAGATAGGTTATTATTTATTCTTTGATCTTGATTACAATTTTTATTCTTTTTCGTTAAGTTTTGTTCATTTTTTATTAATTATTTGATAAAATAATTATTTTTCTTATCTATTTGAGAAAAAATTGGGGCAAAGGTTATATTTTGTCATTTTAGATAGTAAACGGAGTATTTGTTTACCATTTTAGAACAACGACAGTTATGTTTATAAGATATTTTTTTTTTTACACTGTATTTTTTATTTAAGTTGTACTCTTGATTTATAAAATTCTTCCGCCCAATTTTTTGCACATCCATAAAATACTTTTGCTCTACCTAAAATGTCTAAAATATCTCAAAAAAACTTCTACCTGGTATAAACTACGTGATGAGATGTATTTTAGACATCTTAAGTGAGAATAAGAGTGTTTTATGAAATTTATAGAAAATTAGGGATCGGAAAAAGAGTTTAAGAGAGGGAATATTTGTGATATACGAGTAGTAAATTTGTGCCCTATCGTAAAGTTGCTCCTGGCTCCGCCACTGCCAACTGCTCAATGCCCCCATCAAATAACTATCTTAATTAACCCCTTGAGTTGTTGTAACTAGCCTGTTAGGTTTTGTTTATTTCATCTCATCTAATTAGAATAAATTTTGATTTAATCTAAATATAATTATATTTAAAATTATTTTTGATTTAATCTAATTCTAATAAAAATAAGTAATGAATAAAATATAAGTTGAGGAGAGCCTAAGTCAACATTTTTGCAAAGGGAGACCCGTATTATTATTACGGATAAAACTATTTGTACCCCAAACTTTTGTACCCCATTTTGTACATCGCAGGTTTGCACCGACATTTTGTATTGGTGTAATGCTAAATTTTGTTAACGCACCAATACTTTGTGTCCCTGTAAATTTTTGTTAACGCACCAACACTTGTGTCGGTGTAAACCATCAAAATGTTTGTGTATAACTAGAGTGTATAAATATAGTACAATTTTTGGTGTGAGTGTAACATGACCCTGTTATTACTCATATTCCGAAATCCTTAATTCATAATGCGGTCCAACCCGAGCCCGGAAACCCATCGCCACAGATTCACCCCGGAAACCCCCGCCCTTCGCGGCGCACCTAGCCCGCTTGAATATAAACTCACACTTCAAACTCCTCCGCGCGACCACTCTCTGGCTACGGTCTGAGCTCCAATTTCTTCATCTTCTTCCTTGTTGTTATGATCTTTAACTTGTTATGCTTCTACGCTCTTCAGGAGCTATAAATCTGCTTTCAAGAAAAGGGATTGTGCAGTCTGTTGTTTTAGGTTATAATAACAATACTTTTGTCGGCGGTGGAGGCTGTTTCAGAACCATGAGTGAAGCTCGAATAGACGGCGTTCCTGGATCGCATGTTCAATCCACGCCGGAAATCGAGAAAAAGTATGTTCATAGTGTTTATGATGCAATTGCTCCGCATTTCAGCTCAACTAGGTTTGCCAAGTGGCCGAAAGTGTCTGTTTTCTTGAATTCTTTGCCGATGGGTTCCCTTGTTTTGGATGCCGGCTGCGGCAATGGCAAGTACTTGGGATTGAATCCCAATTGCTTCTTCATTGGGTGTGATATTAGTGCTCCGCTTGTGAACATATGTGCTGATGGGGGACACGAGGTTTTAGTTGCTGATGCTGTTAACCTCCCTTATAGATCTGGCTATGGCGATGCTGCAATTTCAATCGCCGTCTTGCATCACTTGAGCACGGAAACAAGGAGGAAGAAAGCAGTCGAAGAATTGGTACGCGTGGTTAAAAAGGGAGGCCTGGTTTTGATCACGGTTTGGGCTAGGGAACAGGAAGATGGATCTTTGGTTAAGAAATGGACGCCACTTACAGACAAGTACTTAGAGGAATGGGTGGCGCCAAGCAGCCCTCAGATCCGCAGTTCATCTTCTCGCTCTCTTGAAAGCATTCCCGAGACTGAGGAAAATGGGCATTCGTTTTCCGGAACTGGAAATGGTTCTTCTGTAGAAGAGCAGCAGGAGTTTTTTGTTCCTTGGCATTTACCTTATCACCGAGCTGAAGTGAGTGGTGCTTCTGCTTCTGCCATTGCGAGTGGACTGGCAAAGAAAGATGACAAGAAGGGTGCTGTCGTGTATAACAGATATTACCATGTTTTTAGTGAAGGTGAACTAGAAAGGTAATGCATCCTGCACTTTTACTTTGTCTTGGTTAATAAATTCTAATGATGTTGTTCCTTTTATTTCTTTAGCATATTAACACTTATTATCATTACTTTTATTTTTAAAGCCCTTTAAGGGTTACAAGCTGTAGTTTATATGGCCTTTTAGCTGATTTTACTTTGTTTACTGCTTGTGTACTTTGAAAGTAGAGATCTATGTCAATAAACCAGACAAGACGAAAATGCTCATATAATAGATTAAATGGGTAAAATATTAGCATGCGGAGTGCCATTCTGAATGATACTGTGATCTGTTATGAGTAACCGTCATTGGGCATTTTTTTGGGTGAGCGTGTGACCTAAATGATTTTTTCTAAGCTTGAGATGACCTAAAATATCACATCGTATTAGTAATTTGAAGAAATGATGTCTTAAGTATGAAGTTTAACTACGGAATACTTTTTACCACACTATTTGACCAAAATATATGGAAAAGAGTGAGAGGTGAACAAAGTGACTACAAGGGCACAACAACAAGTCAACAACAATCCAAACCTATTTCCAACTATGTTGGAGTTTGGGGAGGTCAAGATACACGCAACCTTTACCCTTTGAGAAAAAAGAGTCATTTTCAGTTAGACTGATAAATAAAGGTGATAACTATTGAGTCCAGAAATTATATCCATCAAATGGGACAATAGTTTGTTATCCTCAAACTAGTGTATGAGAATTACGGAGTATAAATTATCTAGTTTTTTTCTGTATAATCATCAAATATTTGATTCTATATCAGTAAAACAAGTTTAAATAGCTTGAGTTAAGTCTAATCCAATATTTTTTAATAACTGTAGTCTAAAGCTGGACAATTGTCTTAGAGCAGCACATTGTCTTAGAGCAGCATATTATTCTCTGTTTCTATATAATCTCTAAATCTCCATTGTTTTGTGCCCATGTTCTAACGACATTTCATTAGTGTATCTGGCATGGTGTTTTAAGAAATCAAACGCTCCTCCGTTCCATACAAAGATTCCACCTTTTAGTTTTAGTTAACTTTTTTTTATAGGACAATGGGAGCATAACATAACAATACAGTCTGAAATTTATTCATTTTTCTAAGGTTATTTTGTTCTTTTTTCCACCTTTTTTTTCTCCAGGCTGGTATCAGGTTTGGATAATGCTGTCATTGCTGATAGATTCTATGATAAATCGAATTGGTGCATTGTTCTTGAGAAGACATCTTAGAGAATAGAGTTATGGAACATTTACATGGCTAATCTTTGCTCTATGGTGGGAAACTCACAATAAAGTTTGCTTCTCAATAGACACACCAACAGCACAATTCGGCACCGACGTTTTTTCAAGATGGGTGGTCTAGAAGAAGAAAACTGCCGGTGAGCTGTTATCAATCTGAAGAACCCTTTTCTTATGGGAGACTTCATCCATTGTGAACTTTTCAATGTCAATTACCACTTGGAATGTGTGTTGTTCAGATCATTTGTGTGGCTATTTTTTGTTCTTTTTTAGTAACTTTTTTTTAAAAAGGAAAAATTTATAGACATTGTGATTTGTGTATTTTTTTTAACGAGGGCAAGAACCGATATTCCCGTGTAATAGGATGATAAATACAAGGTACATTTTTAATTTTGCCAAAATTGTGGTATTATGGTTTGTTACAGGGGACAAATTGTATGAATTATTAGGCGATTTTAGTGTTGTACATTTGACAATGCTTACTGTTATATAGATTTTTCAAAATATTAAGTCTAATTTCTAATGTATTTCCAAACAAGCCCTTTAATTATTCTTTACTATTTTGTTCACTTCTCACATATTCACTAAATTTTGAAATTAGTTTTGATCTTTGGGATATCCTAAATCGGATACGGATAATAATCGCTTTTAACGGATGCAGATATTTTCCATATAAACAGATATGGATGTGGACGGTAATCGAATTTTCGGTTATCCATTTACAGCTCTAGATCCTTTTTTTCCATCTTCTTCCTCCTTCTGCCCTCGATCCATTTTCTCCTTCTTCGGCCTCAACTTGCCTTCTTCTTCCTCCATTTTTTTTTCAATTTCATGTTTTTTAATTTTAAACCCTTTTTATTTTTGTTAATTTTGAATCTATTACTCTTTTTTCATTTATTATTATTTATCTATTTTTATTAATAAATAAAAATTTGTATTAAATTTATATAAATTTTGAAGTAAAAGTGATAAATATTGTAAAAGAAACAGAGAAGTTGGTTTTCAGGAGGATATCATTGCAGGGTTTTTGGACATAACGAAAAGTTAATGAAATTCTGATGTGAGAGAAATTGGGGCATGACAGATTTTGGGATCATTGTAAATGCTCTTAAGGTCTATTTGATGAGCGTAGGAGATATGAATTTCTATATCTCTCAATATCAATTTTTTGGGTGTTTGATGAGTTTTAAAAAGAATTTGAATTTGATAGTTCTACATATCACAAATCCTCCAAATAGAGGTTTCGACATCTACCAAATTTGGAAGATATCAATTTGGGGATTTGATATCTTACTTAGCCGTAGACCATCTCCTTTACATGCTACCACGACCACTGCTAACCACCTCTGTTGTTTGTGACCTTCCGCCAATCTTTAATTAAATCATGATTTTAAAAATCTTTAATTCAAATTTCAAAACCCATATCATTTTCTTTTATATTTCAAAATTCGTAATCTTCAAAACAACTCAACCATGCTACAATTACACCAAGGAGTAGTAAAGTTCACACTAATACAAATCCTAGTGCAATAAAAAAAGAAAAATGCTAGGGGTACACCTTTCCAAAGGTGTACTCCATTTGTTCCCTCCCCCTCCTTGTCCACATAGAGTACACCATCCTACTAGTAGAGACAACTTAATTCTCTCCAAAACTCACACCTCGGCTTCTACCTAGCCCGTCTTTCTGTCGTCTCCGGCGTACTCACCCGCTAAACCCGGCGGATAAGACAGAGGTAAGAGATAAATCTTACTCCCCAGTTCGTCAAAACTTATGACTATCCGGCTATAGGATTGTCGTTGTTGAAAGACGGTGCACTATTTGACACTCCATAGGGGAAGAAGGCGTATTCTGGCGTGGCCAATGGGAATGGAGTTAACCTGGTCCTCCGCCTCTGCGTGCCGGTGTTTTGCTTCTCGAACCTTCTCCCGGCCGCTCTCCGTCGTCTCATGTTCACCTCTTCGGCGGCGTTTGTCTTGTCCTACATCTCAGTCCCTTGGTAAGCTGCTCGCTCACGGTTATTCTGTACAGGAGGCGCACAGGAAAACACCATTTCTATCGTATTCATTTTTCTCCTTAATGGAATTTCGTTTGATTGATGTGTTGTTGATAGGGCGAGATAATTTAGGGCTTGGAATTGAAATTGGAATTAGCTTTTGGTAGAAATGAACTGGGAGATTATATGTCTTCAGTGTTTGCATTTCTTTTTGTTGACTTTAATTCATTGCTGTCATAGTGTGGGAAATGGTTACGGGTCCTTTCGAAAATCAAAAGGTAAAAATGACATGAAAGGTACCTGGAGTTTAGTTCAAGTTTCACAATCAAGGTTTAAAACTTGAAATCTCAGTACGTAATGATTCTTTGTGGCTTGCATTTGATAATGTGTAATGATGCGGGTTTCACATCCAATGATGCTGCATCAACCATTGCTCTGCATTGGAATCGCCACATTGCATCTAGAAGGTTTATGTCATTTCAGTTGTGTTCATAGCTTATGATTTTCATTGTTTCATACTTATGCCAGTTAAAAGCTAGGAAGTAGTGCAATAGCGCTTTGTACTTTGGAAGTTGATCACGATCTTTTTATGACCTCCTACCCTTACTAGTTGTCTAATTTTTTCCCCATACCTGCTCAAATTTCATTATTCTAATAGTGTTGAGAAAATTATGAAAGCATTTTGCCCAAACATGTTTTTTTGTCCTTGGTATTAGGTTTGTTCTTTCGAAAAATGAGGTTGCAACCATACCCTCTTCAAGCTCTTGTTGCCGGTACTGGTGAACTAATAAGTGACTCTAATCAAGGACACATATCTTGTACAGAAGACCCTACACCTATCACTGCTGGCTATAAAGCTGATGCAAAAGAGGAATATGCGGAAGGGGGCTCTGTTGAGAGTGTGAATAATAAGATCCGAGTCTGTGACAAGTTAATTGAGGTCTTCCTGGTAGATAAGCCGACTCCAACTGATTGGAAGAGATTAATAGCGTTTAGCAGGGAGTGGAGCAATATCAGACCTCACTTTTTTGAGCGTTGTCAGGATCGAGCGGAGAAAGAAGGTGATTTTCAGATGAAACATAAGCTACTTCGGCTTGGGAGGAAGCTGAAGGAGGTAATCGCTCCCGTACCTGCAACTTATGCTTTATGAAAAAATGGCTCCTGAGGCATATTCAACAGTTGTGTCATTGGTCTTTTCTCTTTGTGTGTGTATGTGTGTGTGTGTGTTTGTTGTAAAATACTAACCAGAAGATTCCTTTCCAGATTGATAGCGATGTTCAAAGGCATAATGAACTTCTCGAGGCCATAAGAGATTCTCCTTCTGAGATTAGTGAGATTGTTGCTCGGCGTCGTAAAGATTTTACTGAAGAATTCTTCTTCCATGTTAACATCGTGGCAGAATCATATTATGACAATCCAGAAGAACAAAATGGTAAGCCATTTGTAGGAATCAATGTGATATCAATCCAATTGATAATTGAATTATTAGTAATGGTACCATGCCACAAAAAAATTCATAATCTATTCTAAATTCCTTTAGGTTCAAATGAATCAATAAACACATTGCTCTGCTTAAATATACATATGTCTTTGCGTGTTAAAGCTTGTGCCTTTATAAGTTTACTAAAAGCTGCTTTGCAACAAAACTAGGTACTATTACTTTTCTGTGCCGAAGGCGAAGTGACCTTGTTTTATGAGTTTGATCTAATCTAACTCCCTAATATGCAACTTTTGTTGTCTCTAATTTCTGTAATTTGTTCTCCTTGCCAACATTTTACTGATAATGTGGTTGCCTGGGATGGATTTTTTTTTGTAAACATTTTGACAGTTCATATTCCATATCTAGGATTTGTTTTTTCATACACAAGATTTTAATTACTGATTATATGCTTTCATTTTCTCTTTTGTTTTGTGATCATAAGCTGTTGCAAAGCTGGGTAATGATTGTTTGGCTGCTGTACAAGCCTATGATGCTGCAACTGAAAGTATAAAGTCATTGAACGCTGCAGAGCTGAAACTGAAAGATATAATCAATTCACCGTCTGTGGATGCTGCTTACAGGAAAATAGATGACCTGGCCAATAAGAATCAACTTGACCCCGCTTTGGCCCTCCTGATTACCAAAGCTTGGTCAGCTGCTAAGGAGTCGGACATGACTAAAACTGAGGTGAGTTCAGCCTTCTCTCCCTGTTTAAATTTCCATCATTTCTTTTCTGCAAATATGAGGAAGTCTTCTCTATTATGAACCATATAGAAATAGATGTTATATATTTTAGTCTAATTGGAAAAACTACGACCAATGGTATCCTAATAATCATCAAAAGAAGTTTGGTGGTGTGGAGTGCACGCTTCAATGAGTTTGTTACGATAAAAAATCCCGTTACATTGGGGGTTCCAAGGGGGCAGCGCCCCCTTGGCGGGGGTTCGGGGGCAGCGCCCCCGAGCAGGGTTCAAGGGGCGGCAGCCCCTGCGGGGTCCAAGGGGCAGAGCCCCAGGTTAGCTCGAAAATTTTTTATTTTGGGCAAGGCGCTATGTTAAAAAATTCAATTGGAATTTTGTATTTCTAATTTTCTTTAAAAGAAAATTCCTTAGGATAGCGTTGTTTTCCAAGGGGTTTTTCCGCCGAAGAGTTGCGTGCCTTGGGTAAATGGCCACGAATGGTGTCTTCTCCTTCTCACCCCAAGTCTATAAATTCCCGCGAGGCATGGTCGAATTTCGTTCGGATTTTTTATAGCAATTCTCATATTTTGTTCTTGATACTTTCGAGTTTTATCCGATTGAATTTTGGAGCGAACAACCAAAATATTCAATCTGAAAGTGTTTACACAACTCTCGATTCATCCAAGTTATCGTTAATTTCCTCAACAATAGATAAATCAACTAATGTTCCTTTGACCTTTACCAGGCAAAAGACATTATGTACCATTTATATAAGGCAGCAGTAGGAAGCATGCAAAAGCTTATGCCAAAAGAGATTAGAATACTTAAGTATCTGCTTTCAATTAAAGATCCAGAGGAACATATTTGTGCTTTAAAAGATGCTTTCACACCAGGGGAGGAACTTGAAGGAAATGATGTTGACTTCCTATATACGTATGTCTTCAACTCTTCTCTTATTTCAACTCCCTCCATCCCATACTTTTTGTCTTGTTTCCTTTTTGTGTTAGCCCAATTGTTTTCTCATTTCTTTTTCGGAAAGAATTTTGTGTTTGATATTGTTTCTCTCCCTTCTAAACAAATTCCAATTACACAGCTTCCATGTGACAACCATGCTACAATTGGACTATTTTTCTCCCATCTAGTTTAAGTTTTTATTAAAAAAATGATGTGTTTTCATGTATGAAAAATATCTCGCATTTAGGTTCTCGTACGTGGTTATTAGAGAACTCTTGAGTGGATTGTTGTTTTTGATGATGATAGGACCCCAGAGCAGCTGTGCAACTGGATAAAGATCATATCAGACGCATATCACTTCAGCAGAGAAGGGACTCTCTTAAGAGAGGCCAGAGATTTACTGAACCCCAAAACCATCCAAAAACTGGAAGAGTTGAAGAAGTTGATTCAGGACAAGTTCATGTAGACAACAAACAAACTATGCAACTTTTGACAAAGTGTCAAATCATGGTGTTGCCTAATCCCCTAGCAGGTATTATGAATTCATAAAAGCTCCAATCCATGCATACAATTTGTGAATGCATGACTAGGAATTTGCTCGTTACAAAATTTGCTCGTTACAAAATTTTATAGCGGATGGAATTTCCTAATATCATACGGAGTATTATACATGAACACGACTAAATGTGTATTGTTGGATCTGTGTGACAGGTGCTAGTGAGCTAGATATCAGGTCTTCTGTTTTCTTTCTTCTAAACAAAAACTGCTGAGTTGGTAATTTAATGCATGCAATGTAACTGAAGCTCAGCATCTTTAACAATCTTCTCTCCTATCTTTGTTTCATCCCTAAAAACAGGTCTAATAAAAATGGGTGGAATTTAAATATAGTTCTGTAATTTATTATGATAAACTAAAATATAGATGATCTTGTTGGAGTGACTGTAAAAAAATGAATAGTTAAAGCACTGTTGGGAAGATAAAACGATAAAAAATAGAAGCCCAAAAAATACATGATGCGTTGGAGACGCTCTAAATTAGGTTTATGTAGAGGAAAGAAATAATGTCAAGCACTTGACAGTTTTCATAAATAGAAGTGGAATATTATGCCAAAACCATCATTTCCTTTGTTTGGAGTATACAAAAACTAGACTCACTTCTCAGAATTTTACATGCAGCATTGATTATGTGACACCTATGTGGAAAGTGAAAAAAATTACTTTTTAAAAAAAAAATCTTTAATTCTATTTTTTCTATCCCAAATTAAGTTGCATGTTTACTATTTACAAGATCAAACTTTATTCACCTTGTATCCGTATTTTTGTTACTCATTTGATAAAATAATACAATTATTTCACCACATGTTTCGTAGAGATTTTGATGTAGTTGTTTAATTGTACTCCGAAGTAAATTTTATTTTTAATTCCGTTCCAAAATCTCAAATAAATTATAATGAAAATAACTTCAGTAAAACAACGTAAATCAAAACAGGAGATTTAAATTTGGACGGATGGAATATCATTGATCCTCTCCAATAAAAAATTTCAAAGAGAACTAAATATTTATTTCTGTATTTAAATTCTTGCATCTTCAACTATTTTCTGGAAAAAGATTAAATTAGGAGTAAAACATTGTAAATATATTAAAGTAGGAGTTCCATGTTTTTATTTTCGAAATACTCCGTATGAGTTAAAATGTATTTACAAAAAAAAAATGAATCCATCTCTAAGGCCCCCCCAAACCCACTTTGACGGTCATTGAGATGAGGTGGATTACACTTTGATTGTAGATTGGTGGTAAAGAGTGGAACCTGCACCTGGTATTTGCAGAGATCTTATGTTTATCATAGTTACCTTCCAACGCAATTGCCAAGAATCAAACATAGTTTACTCCGTATTTAGGGTGATTTCTTTTATTTTCTCCATTTCCTTTCCCTCCTTTTCTTAGTTCAAGAAAGGAAATCTTACTCGAATAGTGTAAAAGCAAAAAATTACTCGGGATATCCTCAATTTTTGGTAATAACTCTCATATCCTGCTTTATTTGAAATGTACTCTGGGGTACTCTCGATTTTTCTGTAAAAACTTTCAAGTATCATATTATCTAAAATATACTTTGGGATCCTTAAAATTTGTAATATTATATTCCGATGGTGCATTCTGCCCATTTAGGCATTATAATTGAAAGTTCTTTTACTTTGATAAATTGAAGGATTTTATTTAGATTTAATAAAATAATGGTTATCAAGATAAAAATTAATATTTGTCAAAATAATGGAAATTGCAATTCTAATTACTAAATTGACAGAACATACCCTTGGAGTACATTACTACAAATTTAAAAGACTCTCGAAGTATAATTTAGATAATGTGAGACCTAGACTTGGCAAAATATTAACTTGATCTTTTTTTATATCGGAGACATGACCTAAAAATACTCGGTTTTGAACAAAGATTTTGTTGATTGAATCTGAAGTGGACCGAACACAAAACCACCTGCTAAAAATAGGTCAAACCTGAGCACACACGGCCTGACCAACCCGCTAATGTAAGAGTTTTTTTTCAAAATCATATATTTTAGTAATATGAAATATAATGTTATAAAAATAAATTTCTAATTATATTTCTTTTTCTTATTACTCATTTTTAAATATGTCGCATAATTATCTATTGTTTTTCAAAAATTTCTACATATTTAGTTTATTTTATTCGTAATATTGACACTATAGCATAAAAATTAATTAAAATTTCAAAAACTAAATAAAGGTCTAAACCCGTTGGATCCATTTAGTTGGTCATGAACATGTTCTCAACCCTAACCCGGACTTACCTGAATATAAAGTGACTGAACACGATTCTGATCTGACCGGCCGATTTGGTAGTTCTATGTGAGTGATTCCAAAGAATATTTAACAGAAAATTCATAGAACCCTGCAATATATATTCCAGATAATGTGAGATTTGAAAGTTATTATTAGAAAATCGAGAGTACATCCAAATAAATTTTTAATTCTAAAAGAGAGAATTGCAAAAAGAACCGGCCCAGTTTAAAAGGTTCAGTTAACCGAACCGTTTTTCCCAACAATATATCTGACTATCGCGTCCGTCGCATGAGGAGTTTCCCCCTCGTCTCCTCCATCGCCCCCACCACCCTTCTGCAAAAAAGCCCCCAAAATCCCATCAGCTCGCCGCAAGTCGGCAAGCATCCCATCATCACCGGAATCCGGCGCGTTTGTTCACTCTGCTGCTCGTCTCGTTCCTTCCCGGAAGAACTCCACTCCAAACCTCAAACTGCACTCCGTCTACCGAGCATATTCCCGCCGTAACCGGGCGTATAGCGGCCGTGTCCGAGCCTCCTTATACCATCCACGCAATCTATCACAAGGTCCGGCGTGTCCGTGGCTCTGTGCGTAGTGTAGACTATGAAGGATAAAGATTTGTGCCAATGAGTGTTCAGATCATGGCAAGGAAAACAAGCAGCTGTGGTATATGTGAAAACCCAAATCTCCCTTCTATTTGCCCTGCTTGCGTCAATTACAGGTAATTGCAATGACGATCTATGCCTTTTGGATTTCCAATATTCGATTTTTATGATACTGAATTTGATTATTTCATGCCCGATGTTTATAACTTTTTTTTAATATCAAATTTTAAGCATTGTGATTTCATCTATTTGCAGGCTGAACGAGTATGGCATGAATTTGAAATCATTGAAGAGTCGAAGGGATGGATTATATGCAAGATTGAGTGAAGTGCTTGTGACTAAGGTGTGGTTAATTCGAGCTGATGCCCCAATGTCATGATGTTTACTACTTTCTTTTTTGTTTGATGTTTGAGTTTCTGTGGTAGGTTAATCTTCCATTCCTCTGTACTTCTCTGCCATTTTTGTCAGGCTGAATCATGTGTTAACTACTTGACTTGAATTACAACATAATGTTGGTTTTATGATATTTAATATGTATTATCATTGAAACGTAAATCATATCTGTGAATTAATGATTATGAGATGGAAGAAAAGGTAGAAGGGAAAGATTTTGAGGTTGAGTCCAACACACTAGTCCGGAAGAGACCAGTTTCCTTTTAATTTCAACTTGTGATTAAAAATGACGATATCACTTATTATCACTCCAGGGTTAACTTTTAAGGTTAATATATCCCTTTAGTGCCTTTACCCATCCCACTCAGTTGAATTCTGGTATATCGTGGACCATTGGATTATTGGAATAATTTGGTGTGGAGGATTCGAGTGTGAGGTTATACCAAAGGAGATATGACAATCCTAATATGATTTTTAACAATATTTTCATGAATGTAGTCAAGTAGAGTTCTTATGGAAAATCACACAGGATTACTGGCATATTAATGTAATGCAATGGCAGTACGCTACTAGCCTGCTAACATAAAATGCAAAAAATATGGGTTATTCTTATACTCTGTTAGTCCGTATTAGATTTAGAGCACTTGGATACTTGCCCATGTGCCAATTTTTCTCTGTGAAATTGTGGTTAATGGTTATACGAAGTACAGTAAGCAAATCATATCTACAATTTTATGACCTGTTGCAACTGCACATTTCAAA